CAGCTAGTGTTAATTGAATGCATATGATAGGCACTGTGTTTTTTTTTTTTTTTAAGACTCTATCACATCTTTTAATCCTCCCAACAATCAGATTAGGTAGGTACTGTTACTAGTTCTAAATTGGCCTAGGGAGGTGAAATAACAGGCCCAAAGTCACATAGAACCGGGCAGAGCTGATGTTCAAACACAGCCTGTTCCCGAGCCTGTACTGTCAGGCATTTGCTTCCTTCTAAATGAAATTATTATCTTTAAGCCTTTTTCTCATTATTTTTCTTTTTCACTTGTTAATGGGTCTCTGACACATTCTCACTGATCCAGTAGTTTCATGATTTGAGAAGTTCTCCAATACTCAACAGTACTTTTTTCAACTCCATTTAACCGTATTTTATGCTTTAAAAAATATTTCTAATTTTACTTTAAATTGATTTATATTTTATTTACAACATTTGAATACCACATGAAGGTCAAAACAAGTAACTACAAAAACATCTGTTGATGTACAAGAAGAAATGGCTGGGAGAATAAGATGCTAGCATTAAGGGTGGGTGGAATGGGTGGGTAGAGAATGAATGGGGGAGGCAGTTGCTTGTTATCTTGTAAATGATCAATTTATTTCTTTAAAAATTTATGTTTAGGTAACTTTTGCTTCTCAGCTTAACTTCCTACACTTTTCTCTCAGGGCTGTTGTGTGAATCTCTGAGATGAAATTTGTAAAATACTTAGCATGGTGCCTGACATATCATTATCCTTTCTAATGTAGTTACTAATAATCTTGATAAATATTCTTTGAGCATTACCTGTTAACAGGTTTTGTAAAATACATATAAGCCAATGATTATTTTGTGTTCACAGACAAAATTTAAGTCATGGGCTTTATATTGAATTAATCTTAGAATACTTAATTTAGATGCAAAATCCAGAATTTCATAAAGTCAAGAACTGATTTTTTTCTGTATAAGTTGAATGTTATATTTTCTTTCCTCATTAACTTAACATATTTTTACCTATTGAAAATTGTCTTTTTTTCTTTTGAGTTAACTAGCAATCAAAGATATTGAAATATTTATTCCTCATAATGTCTAAAACATTGTATCTTGATGTTCTTTTCATAAGACTTTTCCCCCCTTTTGTGAGCAAACTTAAAAATTAAGTTTGGCCCCCAAACCATCCCCTGGCATCTGCCAGCAAAACTGGAACTATTTTGGCTTTTATCTCTGTAAGACACATTTTCAAAAAATGCAGTACAATTAAAGGGAAAAAAAAGTACTTGAATCTGAAATTTTAAAATTACAGGTGGAGAACTCAAGCATTAGAAAGTAAAATGAAGTGGAGAGCATGGCATTTATACAGGGAAAAGCTACTGTGTGAAGAATTCTGACAGTTGTAACTTGCCTCGCAAATACAACTTGCTTAATTATTAAAGGTGATGTGAAAGGAGGCCCAGAGTGGGTTAGCCATGTGGCCTGCAGGCGAGCACAGAGCCTACTGCTCTTTACTGTAACAGAGGAATTGATTTTAGGAAAATCCAAGTGAAGATATATCTTTCAGCTTGAAGTTTATTTTATCAAGTGTATAATTTGCTCCAAATTATTTTTCTCCACAACTCAACTAGGAAGTTTTGATAGGGGTTTCACTCTTCAGAATACGTCTTCACATTCTCCTCAAAAGTGGTTTCTTTTTGATGTACTTTATTATCAGACAAAATCTAATAAATATCACATGTTGAGTTGTGAAAAACTTGTGTACTTTCATATAGTAAATACATGTATGGTAAGCCTCCCACACAGCTTAACTTGTTATAATATACTTCTTAAAAATTTTAAGTCTTCAAAGATTTGCTCACAAAGGAATGCATGTTAGTTTGTTGCTTTATTATTGTCTGTATATTATTTCAGTCTTTTTATAGTCAGTGCATTTTTAAAATTTTACTCCTTTTTAAAACCATTTTAATTTTTTAAAATACCTTATTGATTTTTAGAGAGAGAGAAAGGGAGGAGAGAGATTGAAACATCAGCATGAAAACGTAACATTGATCAGATGCCTCCTGCATATCCCCAACCAGGGATCAAGCCAACAACCTGGGCATGTGTCCTGATTGAAAATCTAACCAGCAGCCTTTTGGTGCATGGACGATGCCTAACCAACTGAGCCACACTGGCCAGGGCTAGAATGCATTTCTTATGCTATCAAGTAGAAATGTTCAGTGTTCTAATAATTTTATCAAGTTGAGTGAAAGGTGAAGGATTGGAATTGTGTATGGTGTGACTCTAAACGTAAGTGAAAATATTGTTAATCTCTTGAGGCCTAGTGTATATTTAGGGTAAAGGGCCATGGTATGTGGTAGCAGGTATACATTCATATTATAAGTGCCTTCTTTATAATTTTTAATTTTGGGGAGATCTACTTGTCATTGCTCTTAGATTAGTCATCATTTTAATTTTATAGTGATAAACAATTCATATTAAAAATGAGAGTCTCAGTTTTGTCCTATTCTTGTTAGTATTGTATTTAATTTGAAGTTTCTTTCTTGAACTTCTTAAGCCATTCATCCAATATGTGAGGTTAGTTTCATTAAAAATCGATGATTATCACCCATAAGCCCGTTTAAGTGGGTATGCACAGGGTACAACATGTTGAAAATGAGGGCCAAGGAAGGGTTCCATTGTCAACCCCTTGGGCTTTTAGGACCCTCGGTCTTCTCTCAGGATGACTCGTGAAATGTAACTTGTGACCTAGGAGGATGCCAGTATTAAGTTAAAGGATTTTATAAAAATAATACAGGACTTTTTATATTTTTCTCCTGGCCAAGTTTGTTCTCTGGGGATCGCTATACCAAATGTCACAATTTGGATTTCTGTGTGCCTGCCTTCTTAAGAGAAGGCCCCAAAGTACTGTAGCTGGGCTGTGGCCCAGGAACCAGAGCCAGGCTTGGCCTAGTGAACAGAACCCTGTCCCACTTCTGTTCTCTGTGGGGCGGAGGCGAGAGGGTGGTGGTGAGTCTCCCTGTCTGCCCCATTCAGAATTCTCCTGCAGCCCACGCTTCACCTTCTCCCAATCTTTAGGTCTCTTTTGTTCAGCTGTGAGCTCCCTGAGGGCTGGGTCTTATACCCCTCCTCCCCTACTTTTTTAAAAAAATGTGTTTTTATTGATTTCAGAGAGGAAAGGCGAGGAAGGGAGAGATAGAAACATCAGTGATGAGAAAGAATCATTGATTGGCTATCTCCTGCACACTCCCTGCTGGGGTCAAGCCCGCAACCTGGGCATGTGCCCTGACTGGGAATCAAACCATGACCTCCTGGTTCATAGATTGATGCTCAATCACTGAAGAACACTGGTTGGACTCCCCAATTTTTGAATGATCTATAATTGACACACAACATCTTATTAGTTTCAGGTGTACAATATAATTTGATATTTGTATATATTGCAAAGTGTTCACCACAATAAGGCTAGTTAACATCTGTCACCATAGATAGTGACAGAATTTTTCTTTGTAATGAGAACTTTTACAATCTATTTTCTTAGCAACTTTTAAATATGCAATACAGTATTATTAACTACTAGAGGCCTGGTGCATGAAATTCGTGCATAGGGCGGGTGTTGTCCCTTAGCCCAGCCTACGCCCTCTCGCAAGCTGGGACCCCTCGGGTAGGGTCCCGAGGCCTGCTGGTGATCAGGGTCTATGGGGACTTTCCTTCCCCCAGCTGCCAGCAGCTGGCCCCGCCCCTGCCGCTGCCACTGCTTGCCATCTGTGTGGTGCTGTCCCCCTCTCCCCCGCCACCAGTTGCTTTCCTCTGTAGGCGACAGACAGGCGTGGGGTGCGATCGCTTGGCTGGCCTGGGCCTCCCTCTGCAGGGCAATTGCTGGCTGGCTCTGCACATCCACCACAGCATTGCTGGCTGGTGGCCTGGCTTCCCTCTGTGGGGCAATTGATTGCTGGGCCCCCAGATTGATTGCCCTGCAGAGGGAGGCCCCGCCTATCTGCTGCAGTGCTGCCAGTCAGGTAGCCTGGACCTCCATCTTTGGGGTGATCGAATGCGGGGCTCTATGATCAATTGCCCAGCAGAGGGAGGTCCCACCCACCGGCCGCAGCGCCATCGGCTGGGTAGCCTGGGCCTCCCTCTTTGAGGCGATCAATTGCAGGGCTCCACCATTGATTGCTGTGCAGAGGGTGGCCTGGGCCCCCCTTTGCGGGGCGATTGTGGGGCAATGGCAGCCCCCCCCCCCAATCGCATCGCACCCGCCTTGGCTGGCCTGGCGTTAGTGTGTGTCATAGCATGGTCAGCCGGAAGGTCGTCCAGACGGTCATTCTACTGTTCGGTCGTTCAGTTGATTTGCATATTATGCTTTTATTATTATAGATAGTCTCTATGCTGTACATCACATCCCCATAACTTATTTTATAACTGGAAGTTTGTACCTATTTGACTCCCTTCAATTAACCCCGTTTGAATGATGCTGGCTCCTTTTTCCTAAGCTGGAAGATGGTTTCTGGGTGTGGGTGTCAAGGGGCAGGCACACCCAAAGGCAGATGAGATGCATGCAGCTGGGGAAGAGGTGGGTTAGCATGACAGCGGCCTGCATTCCCCCAGACTGAAATGTCTGGCCCTCTCTAAGATCTGCCTTGTTCCACCAAAAGTGGATTCTGATCTCAGAGAAGCCTGTCATCCAAGCGATTAATTAAGGTGAAACTTTCAACCTGCTTATTTTGACCTTTCTTGTCTTTCTGAAATATAATTTCCATTTTGGGAGCAGTCAGTGGGATAATGTCGGGGTGATGGATTTCCTTATGTGTGGACATTAATACAAAATAAGAAAGGGGTTCTGTTTCATACAGGTAGCATCTTATTTCTGTATTTTTATAATTTTGTCTCTGCAATTTTCCTATCTAATGAGTTACTTCTCCTTCGACAATATTGATACCTGAAGGTCAGGACACAGTTCTGTTGGTTGGTTATATGAGGACTCCGGTAATAAATGCTCTTCTTATTATTTGCAGATGCAGAAGCCATGGAGTTGAGCTGCAGCGAAGTACCTCTTTACGTAAGTTCCTAAGCATTGGGCTTCAGGTTGAAGTGGCCCTTTTCTTAGACTTGAAACCCATGTGACTGAAGTGGGGAGAAAGGCTTTGCTCATTACTGAGCTGAGGCTTTTGAAAAACAACACACAGTGCTACTGTCTAGTTTATTTGCATGAAGTCTTTTAAAACTAGTTGGCTCCTGGTTTCCAAGTCTGGGTTTTAATTATATTTCCCCAAGTAACTTTTTAAAAACTGGATTAGCTCTGGACTAAAAATACTCAATTCATCCATATAGATGATTTTTGAATATATTGTTTTATGATAATATCCTGATAATAGCCAAGAACGTGTTCTGTGTGTGTCTTTTTGAGGGAAATGTTCAGTGATAATTGTGTCAGTTAAAAACATGAAATAGAAATTCAAAGGAAAGTGCTGGGCTATATACATAGATTACGTGGGAGATCGGGTGACAGAGTTGCCCAGTAAGATTCCCGGTCAAGGTGCCTTCTGGGTTGAGGGAGGATTCTGTTGTTGAGAACAGATACTGGGTGTAACAGGGAAGTGATGTGATTGTCTCATCTTACAAAATGGCAGATTGTTTCCTCTTCCCATCTTCCTTTTTCAGACAAAACCTTTTTTCTTGGAACCCGTGTTGATGGGGGTGTGAGTATGGATATGTGTAGGAGGGCTGCTTTTTCAGGTGGCCTTTGAGTTATCCTCTCATGGCATGCAGCAAGAGTACAGGATCTAGCATAAAAGATCTGACCTCATTTCAGATTAATCCTTAATAGAACAATATCAAGGATTTGGAACAAGTTTAATCAGAATCCTCAGTCAATTAAAATATATTAATCCACTTCCTCTTGCCACACTTTACTACCCAAGTAACGCTCTCTCTCAACCCCTCCCCACTCTTCTTACATGTATCCCACTCTATTCTCTGAAGAAACACTAAATGATCAAGTAAATGGATGCAAAATAATACCCCCCTCTCCTGGGTTACCCAGTAGTCTATAGTACTCTCTTTAGGTTGTGATTTGCAGGTCATAAAATGTGTCTGTAGACAGGCTTGGCCCAGCCATAATTAAAGATTAAAAAAAAGACTGCTCTAATGCTAAATTGTAAAGTATCCCAAGTTTTATTCAATTATTTATTTTGTACTTACTTCCTCCTCAGTTGTATTCATTCCAACCTGCTTCCCTACCTCAAACCAAATAAACAAATCCACAAACCTAATCCTGGTAGAAAACCTTGTGGTTGGTCAACATACTGGTGTAGCTATATTGAACTTAGGATTATGCCCAGACTAGGGAAGAGTCAGTTAACATTGCCTAAAGGAGAGAAGAGAGCTAAACAGACCAAACAAACATTTTTTTCCTGTCATATAATATGTACTAATTAGAATAAAATGAAAAATACCAAAGTGTTAAGAAAACAAGTCATTCATAATCTTACCCCCTATAAATAGTGTTATGTTAAAACATTAATACACTTTATTGCCCTAGCTGGTTTGGCTCAGTGGATAGAGCATTGGCCTATGGACTGTAGGGTCCCAGGTTCAATTCTGACCAAGGGCACATGCCTGGGTTGTGGTCTTGATCCCCAGGAATGATACAGGCAGTGAGTAAACTGGCTTATAGCTAACTAGTGGCCTGGTGCATGGATTCGTGCACATTGAAAGGAAATTAATTAGAAGACATATTTTAATATCATTATTCGCCCTTTCTCTATAATAGAAGTGTCAACCAAATTCATGATCAACAATGACAGATCAAAACATGTGCATGCGATTGGCGCCAGCAAAAGCTTTATACGTATCGCCCATACGCAAGTCAACGTTTATTTTTAAATTGTCAGTGTGCGTCATATGTACTGACTGGTCGGTTGGTTGGACGGTAGGATGGACAGTTGGATGGTCACTTAGCCTTTTAGATATATAGAGGATTCCTATATATCTAAAAGGCTGTCACAACATGAATTAATTGCTTTCAAAATCACTTCACCATGGTTTGGTATTAAAAGGCAAAGTTTACTGTGTGCATGTGAGTGCATACCAGTGCCTGACTGTCCACAGCCTGTGTAGACCCAGGTTTCCAGAATGCTGGATGGTGTTCCCATGATGGCTGCTCTTTGTGGTGGTTAACTGAGGTAGATAAGAACCTATTAACTCCAGAATGCTTATGCAGAAAGAAGGTCCAGCAGCCATCAAAACTCTAAGTGGGACTCAGGCAGCAAGGACTCTCTTCAGAAGGGCTTCTTGGTCCGAGCAACAGAAATAGCCTGGAGAGGAAGCCGATGAAATCTTGTTGTCCTTAGCCTTTAAGGTAGACTATTCAAATGAAAGCCATTAAAATTCAACCAACCAGTCCAGCCAGTCTTGCTCAGTGGTTAAGCATTGACCTATGAACCAGGAGGTCTGGGTTCCATCCTGATCAGGGCACATGCCCAGGTTTCAGACTCGATCCCTAGTAAGGGGCATGCAGGAGGCAGTCTATCAATGATTCTCTCTCATCATTGATGTTTCTGTCTTTCTCTCTCTCCCTCTCCCTTCCTTTCTGAAATTAATAAAAATATATTTAAAAAACAAACAAAAAAACACACGTTAATACATTTTATTAATTCTAAGGCACATTTTTTTTCTTATTTTCATATCTGTGAAATTGAGATGCTCCTACACCATGCATCCTGGCAGAAGTCATGATGTAGCTGTCATTACCTAAGCATGTGTGACCTTGGTCACATGGCTTATATTGTTGTCACTTCAGAATAGTTATGAACTTTGCTGGCACAACATGAATTAATTGCTTTCAAAATCATTTCACCATGGTTTGGTATTAAAAGGCAAAGTTACTGTGTATATACAAAGACATGGAACCAGTAGCATGATACATGATGAAATCTGTATAAGTTAAAACAAAATGCTAACACAAAAAAATGGGCAGTTTTTCTTCTAGTGGCATATAAAATGCATATTTTATATGGTTTTCTATTGCTCTGACCAACTGATGGCATCTTATATTAATTATGTATATTTTATATGTACATAACTGTATGTACATATATATGTTGTAACCTGATTTTTTTCACTTAACATTTTATGTCAATATTATTACAGATTGACCTAAACCAATCTGACCATTTGGCCTCATCAGTAAGGAGGTCAGTGAGGGTTATATTATAATGAAAACAAGTCTTAAGCCAAATTCATTGAATAAGTAATATGTAAACAGAGCAGACACAAAGGCTGTGCAGCAACTGGTTCCTGTATCTTGATGCAAGCCTCCTGTCTGCCCACGGCCTTCAGAGGTTGGATAAATATGCACGTCTAGTTTCTCCCAGCTTACTACAATCTGGTTTATAAATCCTTATATTTAAAAATTCGTAGTATACTTTATTTTAAAAAAGCAAAAAGAAAAAATTAAAACTATGTTTAACCCTATCATCGATGATAAGCATTATTGACTTTTTTTTTATTCTTCCAGAATTTTATCTATATTTGTGTGGAATTTTATCGAAGGTTCTTTTGCATTTGTTTAGATGATGTGTTTTCTTATTTGACTAATTGTGATATATTACATTGGATCTCTTAATTTTGATGCTTTCAAGTACTTCTACCAATCCTATTGAGTTGTTTTAACAGGTTCTTTTGGGAAAACAAATTAAGATAACACTGTTAAGAACATAATTTAGGTAGAACCAAAAAAACCCTAGAAATTGTAAAGAGTTATAACATTGAGATAATATCTTAAAATTATAAAACTACTAAGCATAATAATTGTATGCTAATGAATTGGAAAAGCCTCAGTAAGATAGACTTTAAAAATATAAACTACAAGATTGATCTCATAGAGGATGAGATCACATAAATAGAACAGTGGTCATGAAGTAAGAAAATGTTGTTAGAAATTATTCCCCAACTTCTTTTTGCCCTTTAAAAAGAGCACCTCATTCAGGTGGGTCCTATCGGTGATAATTTGTTTAATTTTTTGGCTTTTTATGGCAAACGTTTTCCCCCCTCACATTTTTTGGCAAATATTTTTGTTTGCTTGTCTTCAGGAAGGAGACTCTATCTTAGTATTAGGGATGCAAGGATATTCCTGAACTCAGCCCCAGACTCACTCTGACTTTGAAAATGAACTATGAGCCCTAACTGGTTTGGCTCAGTGGATAGAGCGTTGGCCTGTGGACTGAAAGGTCCCAGGTTCAATTCCGGTCAAGGGCATGTACCTTGGTTGCGGGCACACCCCCAGTAGGAGGTGTGCAGGAGGCAGCTGGTCCATGTTTCTCTCTCATTGATATTTCTGACTCTCTATCCCTCTCTCTTCCTCTCTGTAAAAAATCAATAAAATATATTTTAAAAAAAAAAGAAAAAAGAAAAAGAAAATGAACTATGATGATCCGCTTGCTATTGCCGGAAAAGAGAAACACTGCACTCTGATAAGTTAGAGAAGAAGCAGGGATTGACAAGACTGGTAGCTAGGAGTTTTATAGTATTGATCTGCAAACCTTAGGGATGTGAACACTGCAAATCCAATTTTCAGTCTCTGAGCAGCTTCCTGCATCTGTATTTAAAAGGGCAAAAAGGAGTAGTTCTGGAGGGCCAACCTATTTTTTCGCAATAGAAAAGATACAGTTTTTGCCTGACTGGCATAGCTCAGTGGTTGAGTGTCTACCTATGAACCAAGAGTTCACTGTTCAATTCCCAGTCAGGGCACACCCCCGGGTTGTGGGCTTGATCCCCAGTAGGGATGTGCAGGAGGCAGCCCATCAATTATTCTCTCTCATCATTTATGTTTCTATCTCTCTCTCCCTTTCCCTTTCTCTCTCTGAAATCAATAAAAACATATTTAAAAACAGGTACAGTCTGGGTTGAGATCTAGGTTTAATCTTTAGATTGAATGGTGGCTTAAGCTAGGGAAGAGTTGTAGTGATGAAGCTGATGAGAAGAGTGAAAGTCTGGGGACTTAGTATAATTGACCTACGATGTTTATAGCATAAAACTCGTGGACATCACTTGCGAGTT